TATTATTATTATTATTATTATTATTATTATTATTATTATTATTATTATTATTATTATTATTTTGTGCCTTCTGGTGGAAATGCCTTAACTGCACTTCATTTAAGACATATTGAAAGTTATCAGCTACAGCACCAAAATTTTATTCCTTCAATATCACAGAATTGTTTGGAGAAATAAACTGATAAGATATCTAATCTATCAGAATGGCATATATTTTTCCTTAAGCTCTTAGGAAAAAAAAAAAGAGGTATGGATGCTACATTGTATCATATCCCACAGTCATATCCCAAGGAGATATGACCATACCCTCTGTGAGTTTTTTACAGTACATAACCTCTTTGAGTTTTTTCCCCCACTTCTGTTGGCCATCAGCTGGCAGAATGTGACATATGTAACAACTTGAAACCAAAAAGGAGCCATCCATGGACATGAACAAATCCCGAGTCAGAAAGTCCTCAAATTTCTTGTAGCACCAACACAAGAAATATAAAAAGAGATTATTGCAGCTAACAGAGCTGGACTACAGGAAGTCCTCGGCTTACAGCCACAATTAGGACCAGAACTTCTGTCAGGAAATGAAGCAGTTGCTAAGTGAGTCATGCCTAACTATATGACTTTTTTTGCCATGGTTACTAAGTGAATCACGCAGTTGTTAAGCAAATCTGGCTTCCCTCATTGACTTTGCTTGTTGGAAGCCGCCTAGAAAGGTTGTAATTGGTGATCATATGACCTGGGACCCAATGACTGTGGTAAATAACTGGCAGTTAACAAGCACTCAAATTTTGATCACATGACTGCAGGGTTGCTACAATGGTTGTAAATACGAATAGCAGCCACAAGTCAGTTTTTACCGCTATCGTAACTTCAAATGGTCGCTAAAGAAATGATTGTAAGTTGCGAACTATTTGTATAAAAATTCAGATGACCGCTAGAATATGTGAATACTCTGCTGCCATTTTGAATTAGGCTGCATTTTTGCATTCCAAGTCTGATAACCCTAGTTTTTTTAAAAAAAATCTACCCTGTTTCTCCAACAATACGGCCTCCCCCAGTAGGAAGTCCCAGCATGTTTTATAGGCATGAAATGAAATTAAGCCCCTCTCCCCAAATTAAGGCCTATATTAAAACATGCGGAATGGTGGGGAATGGTGTGGGGGCTTGCCGTTAGGAAGTACTTTTGTTGCACACCCGGATATGGTGCTGCCTGTGTTGACCCTGATACGAAGTGCCCCACCAACGCCGAGGTCAACATCCAAGCCGTCGCTGCCTGTCCGCCCAAAGATGCAAGGGGGGGGAATTAAGTCACCCCCGAAAAGACGGCCTAGCCATTTTTTTCGGGGCTCAAAAAAAAATAAGACCCGGCCTTATTATATGAGAAACACGGTATCTTAACAGAGAAAGGAAAATACCTGGGATTTACTGAGTTTTTGAATACAGATCCCATATTTCAACATCTGGTATCATTGTAGGTATTAAAGATTTTCAGAAACGTGTATTGGTTTCATTCTAGGAATACCAGAATATCTGACAATTTCTTCAGTTATTGTTTTCAAATTTCCCTACATGGAAATATATGATGTCATCTTTTTGCTGCTCAGAAAAAAAAATACCATCTGCAGAAACAGGCCAATTTTCAGATACAAATGTTGCATACAAAATTATTGCTATCACACGCTTACCTGTTTTCATATGGACAGTGTACCATACCACTTTATCTTTGTTGGTAATGTTATGTAGAATAAAGTCATGAGTGTATAGAAAGGCAATGTGTAAGCTGTTTTTAATGACTTAACAAAAAACTCTGCTTTCAGAATTTCCAAACACAGGTGTAAATAAGCTCAGAACATCTGAGAGTGTTCCTATCACTTCTTATCATGTTGGAACGGAGTCTGAACAAGGAAATCTTTACTCTCCAGAGCAGACATCGCTTCATGAAAGTGAGGATCTGTTATATACATTTTAAATCATCTGAAGTTTTTCAATTTGGGAGCTTTTTCTTTTGTGGTAACTTGTAATAATGTCAGTCTCGTAATGATTTATTTCTGCAGGATCTGTTGGTAACTCTAGAAGTTCAACACAGATGAATTCATATTCTGATAGTGGGTACCAGGAAGTAGGCAGTTTCCATAACAGCCAGAACCGAGGAAAAGGAGAGAGCAGACAGCAGCAATCTTTTGCAGGAGCAAATAATAACCATTTAGTGCGAAGTTCACGTGCTGAAGGACAAGCTTTGGTACAGGTACAGCTAAATTCCAGCACCTATATTCAATCAGTGTTCCATTAGCTGATCATTTGCGAATAGTTGTATTTTGTCATTCTGTAAGGAGGTATGTCTGTATTTTATAAGAAAAGGCCTTAGGTTATGTAGTAGAAGTCTGCTATTTATTATGATCTTGATTTCTTTACTATTCCTTTTCTTTGCGCTAAGGGGCACTTGTTTCTAGTACCCTGGGATTTTTTTTTCTTAACAACCTCCATCCTCACTTCATTATTTTCCTCCAAATCTGCTCGGAAAAGGCTTCCAATTTTTTTGAGCAGATGTGGCAAATGGGCAGATTATAGAAAGAAATATGTTCTGTTACTGGGTACTGTTCCACCCATTGTTTTTAAGTTTGCAACATTTGCTCAATTAATGTATTGTTCATCAAAAAACAAAAATATCGCAGCGATTGAAAAGCTGCCCGCAAAAGTGAATTTTAATTTTTTGAAAGTGTGTATGTGAACATACATTTAAGAAAAGTCCACAGAATTATAACTTAATGTATATGTAGTATAAATAAATAATATTTACCAAATATTCATATTAATATAATTGTCTTAAGCCATAATTGTCCATAGATTATAAACAAATCATATAACATTTATAGAAATAGAAAACAATGATACAATACAATATTTATCATAGCTATTTCACAAAAATGAAAATAAACACAACAAAAACATTGTTTACTGTTACAAATTTCAATAACTATAGTTTGTATGAGATAGGTCAACTATATAAATCTGAGCCTATATTTGTAATGAAAAGTTGACTGTTAAACTAAAAATGCAGCCATGCAAAATTATGATGTTATAATTATATAATCACTTTACAGGGTTACTATCTTTATAGCCTCTCTCAAGGAAACCTGACAAATATTTTTCTACTTAATTTTTAATTTTCTTATTTAGTAGAAAATGTTCAGTGTTCTCTAACAATGCATTCTTGATGGATGCTGTAATAAATAAAATTGTTCAACAATATTTTAGGTTCAATGTAACAAAAGCATTTTTACTTTTCATTGGGAGAAATTGAGAGTTCAGTCCTTTTCAGAAGTACTTTCCAGTGCATCCGATAGGGCCTAATCCCAAATCTGTATATGAGGTTTTCACTTAATCTTTACACTTAAATTTATTTTGTTGATATCGTTATTTTTCTCCTTTTTAATAGACAGCACCAAACATAGCTTCCACCAACAGAGCCATGAGACGTGTAAGTTCTGTTCCATCAAGGGCCCAATCTCCCTCATATGTAACCACCACAGGAGTTTCCCCTTCAAGGGGATCACTCAGAACTTCTTTAGGAAGTGGCTATGGTTCGCCATCTATTACTGAGTCACGGTCTGTCAGCTCTAATGTTTTCTCAACATTACCTGTTCAAAGAGCAGCATCTCCATTTACTACACAGAGGCCTGCCTCACCAGTAGCAGTGCGCCGAATTGGTTCAATAACATCTAGGCAATCAACCAATCCCAATGGAGGAACTCCTCAATACCAGCCTTCAGTCAGAGTTGGTTCACCTCTCACAATAAATGATACGCAGACAAGAGTAGCCTCTCCACCCTTAACTCAAGTTGGATCTTCATCACCAAAGCGCTCTGGGATGACTGCTGTTCCACAACATTTGGGAACATCGTTGCAACAGACACTTCATGACATTGAGCAATACGCACAGCAGTATGATATCTATGAAAGAATGGTCCCACCTCGTCCAGACAGCCTTACAGGTTAGTAAAAAGGTAAAGACCCAACTTAACATTTTGTGCAATTATATGTTACATGAATGACAAAATGGAATTATCAGAAGCAATTATTGCAATTATTTTTCTGAAACTGGATTTTTTTAAAAAAAGGAATTGATTTATTCAAAAATAATAATTTGTTAGCGTGGTTGCATATTTTCAGGGGTTTGTTTTCTTTTGTTAAGTCAGAACTGAATTTCAAGCTGAGAAAAAATAACAAATCTAAACAAAGTACACATGTACTAATATTTCTGTGCTGTAAATATATGTCAGATCTCACACATATGAATTTGCTTTCATTGCACAAATGATTATGCTCTAACTCAATAAAAATGGTAAAAATAAATTATACTGTCTTAGTTGGCCTAAAAGTTGATAATCACATTGTAGAGTATCCTCTTAATCTCTCAGAGCATTTTTTTTAGAAATAAGGAGGGGGGGAAGTACAGTATAATATTCTTCTATAGTTTACATTTATCTTTCCTAATAATTATTAATACTATGCTCCAAAAAACCTTTCTGCTATTTTTTTCAAGTCTGAATCAATTCGACAGGGGGAAATGAACATTTTGATGAAATTTTCACTATTTGACCATCTGCAGAATTAGTCTCTCTAGAATTAGATTTTAGAGGTATCTCTAGAATTAGAAAAACCCAAACTACTTTTTCAGGGGGAAAAACTTTAGGCAAATAAGAAGCTATTGAAACATTACTTTTGCAGTTGATACTTATATCTTTAGTAGCCAACATTATATTTAATTATTTGTTTGGAATATTTATAGCTCACTCCCAATCTATTGGCTCACATAGCAAATTGCGATCCGTTTAAAAAGAGAGAAGTAGTAGTACCGGGTAAAATCAATAATAAATTACTTAAAAATACAACATAAAAACTATAATGAACAAGTGTCGGGGGTATTTAAAAGACAAAGGTCTGGTGAAACATGGCATGAATTATCGAATCCAAGAATTAAAAAAAATAGGACTTTATCTGGCATGAAAACCCGATAACGTTGGCACCAGGTATATTCTTACAGGTATATTCTTTGTTAGATGTCTGTGGAGATTCTCAGTCATTCAGGTCAAAGCTGCTTTTTCAAGAGGAAACTACCGTATTTGCCGGCGTATAAGACGACTTTTTTGCCCTGAAAAACATGCCTCCAAGTGGGGGGGTCGTCTTATACGGCGAGTATATAACAAAGGTCGTCTTATACACCGGCAAATACGTTGTTGTCACTCGGTGCAAGAGCGACGGGGGCGGAGCTCCGCAACTTGCGAAGCCCCTTCAAGCCCAGCCGGAGTCTCTCTTCCTCCTCCTCCCCCACCCACCCACTCCGCTCGTGCGAGCGGACAGGCAGGCTCCAGGCTTTGCCCCCATCCCTCACCTCCTTCCATCCCCCTCCACCCCCCCCCCAGTGGCAGAAACTTCGCCGCACGTGGGGACGAGTGGAGGGGGTGGGAGAGCAGCGACGCAGCTCAAAGCTGAGAAAGCGCCATCCTTGCTTTTGTGCTTCGGGAAGAGTTCGTGTTTTTTGTTTTTTTGTTTTTCTCCCAGGAATGGGATGCTGCTCGTGCGATTTTCTTTGGGAATTTTTCTCTTCCCGGTTTCAGCCTTTGCTCCGAATCCTCCCCCCCCCCCCATTCACTTCTGGAAAGGATGCTTGTGTAACTCTTTTCCTAAGCGTTGCTGGGGTGGAGGGGGGGCAGTGTGCAGCGTGAGCGAGAGGCTCTTTTCCTTTCTCCCTGAGCGCAAAACCGTCTGCCTTCTTCTCTCTTGGATGGACCGAGCAAGGCTAATAAGATAATAATAAGATAATAAGATAAGATCCTAAGCGCGTTGTGGAAACAGATCTGGATCTCATTGGAGAAAGGTAGCAAATGAATGAACTGGACTTTTGGCAAGTCTCGGGGTAGGAACTCGACGCTTTCTGGAAAGTTAGTGAGCAGGAAAATAGACATCCTTTCCGCTTTCTCCCAGCGTGGGTATTTCATTATCCCTCCCTGTAAGAAGTAACAACCACAAAGCCAAGGGAAAAAACGATGCGCAGGAAAAAGCCACAGTAGGAAGCAAAGATTTCTCCCCCCCCCCTCTCTCTGAAATAATTAATGTCGCAATCAGTGTGGTGCACCCTTGGAGACAAATTGGTTGGGGAGGTAGAAAGATATTAAGAAACAACTCGACTGTTTTTCGTCCAGTTTTATTTTTATTTATTTATTTTCCCCTGAAAAAAGCAGATCGCTCAATGGTGTCACAAAGAAAGGGAGAGGAATTGAGTGCCAGCCTGAGAAAGGCGAAGCTGCCTCTCTAAAGCATTTTGGTGGCTTTGTAAGTTTGGGGGAAAGGGGCGGGGGTGTCAATCAAGAATTATATCCAGAATACCCCAAGTGTTACAACTTACCGTATTTGCCGGCGTATGAGATGACTTTTTTGCCCTGAAAAACATGCCTCCAAGTGGGGGGGGTCGTCTTATACGGCGAGTATATAACAAACTCTATATTTTGAGTGGAAATGTTGGGGGCTTGTCTTATACGCCCAGTCGTCTTATACGCCGGCAAATACGGTATACTTTCTTGTTTTTCTTTGAAAATGTTTCACTTCTTATTTAAGAAGCTTCTTCAACTCTTACTGGATGGTGGGGAATGGAAGGGTTTTATATTTTTTGTTAGCTGTATCTTAAAACAGGGCATGTGTTTATTTAGAAAATTATATCCTTTGGCTCCATCACAATCATTAGTATAATTTCATCATAAAAATATTTTTATGTTTTAATTTAAAATGCTTTCATTAGAAACATAAGTTCTGAAATTAACCCATTTTTATTCAGTGATATTTTTCAAAACAGATAAAAGCAGCATGGATAAATTTTACAAGTTGTATTAAGAAACAAAATATGGCAGCTGAGAAAAGTTGTTTAAATTTATCTTATAAGAGATTCTGAAAAGTTAATACTTTGTGCTTGATTCAGCAAATTACAGTGAAAATATGAATGAGTATTTTAAGTCCTTGATTTTAGCTGCATCATGCTCATTTTGTCCAAAACAAAACTCAAATCTTTTTAAGGAAAAATCTCTACTGGTTTGTTTAATGAGTCTCTTTTGAAGTATGATATCCACAGAATTGTGGTCTGTTTATTATTTATTTGCTTCATTTTCCATATATTCTTTTCTTATTTTACAGAATATGCAAACTTCCCAGAATCAGTTATAATTGGAGCAGTGTATAAGCTCACTAAAATAAATAATAAATTAAAATAAATATCCATCTGCATAAATTTGTTTATAGTTATTTCATATAAGACAGCTGAAATTCTGAAATACTGTTCTGATACAAATTAATGTTTCATAGAAACATGATTTAACAGACCAGTTGTGGGGAGATAGCATCTATTACTTCCAAATGTCTGTCAAATCACAAATTACATAATTTACAATAATTTGCATAATGATGTTAAGTAAATGATGTAATTCACATCATTTCATGTCATTTACATAATGACATCATTACACAAATGACGTAAATCTCAAATGAGATAAAAGTATCATAAAATTAACATTTAATTGCCTTATTTGAACTACTTTGGGTGCACAATTGTTTTATGTAATTTTAATATTATTTTTTAACATACGCTGGGAAATAATTTTGATTTGGGGGATTCCTAAGGGGATCTTGGGGAATTTCTAGAAGTCCTAGGACCACATTTTAAGAAATACTGATCTAGTATATCTGGAACATATGTTGGGATGAGGAGTCCTTGATGCTCTCTGAGCTTGTTTGTTTTCTTGCAGACATTTTATTACCAAAACTAGGTAACATCATCAGTGATAGAGAGGAGTGAAGTTTGCTGTCAGTTTATGTTTTGGTAGCTTGCCCTGTCAGTATTGGTGGGGCCGGTCTTAGAGATTCTTTGGTTGAACTGTTTACTGTTGGCTCTTTGGCAGTTTCTCTGTTGTTTGCTTCATTGTTGGTCTGATGCTGATTTAGGTGCTGATTGCTGGTGGAGAGGAGCTTGGGTCTTTTTGTCTCCAAAATGCTTCTTCTAAGAGGCAACTGGACTTTCTGTTTTTTCTTTGAAGGTGTTTTGCTTCTCATCCAAGAAGCTGCTTCAGAGCTGAAGAAGAAGCTTCTTGGATGAGAAGTGAAACATTTTCAAAAGAAAACCAGAAAGTCCAGTTGCTTCTTGAAAAAAGCACCTTTGAGACAACCGTGACCTGGATGATTGAGAATCTCCATAGACACTTGGGTCTTTTTGGAGGCGGGTGATAGTCTCTTTTGCATAGTCTATAGATGATGTTAATGTGTATATGTCTCTTGATGGCTGATTTGTCAGAGTGCCAGTCTTCTAAAAATTTCTGGTATTTTTGGACTTGGCCTGGTCTAGGATGGTCACACTTTCCCAATTGAAACTATGTGTAAATCTGTCTCTATGTTGAGAAATTAAGGAATTTTTATCATGTCTTCTGACTGCTAGTTGGTGTTCATGGATGTGCTTTGTTTGTCTATGGGACAACGTTGGTACGATGTTACCTAGTTAGGGTAACTTCTCCTGACTGCTAGTTGATGTTTGTGGATATGTTCTGCCAATCTTTGCCTGTTTCTCCTACATAGTGATTGTTGCAGCTCCTACATTGTACATTGTAGATGACTCTTGTTGTTTTTTCTTCTGGGATTGTTGGGTCTTTTGGTCTGCTTAGGATGTTTTGAAGGGCTTTAGTTGGCTTGTGTGCTATGCTGATTCCATGTGGTTGTAAGAGTCTATTGGTGGTTTCTGGGAAATATTCTTGATGTATGACATGTAATTCTTTGTAGGGTTTATGTTGGTTGTACTGTATTGGGTTGAGTGGTCATGGACTTTTTGATAAAGTTGTGTGGATATCCATTTTGTTGGATATGTTGTATAGATGATCTGTTTTCTTTTTCTTCTGTTCCAGGTTGCTGCAGTGTATTTGGGCTCATTTAAAGTCATAATGCAGCTTCTCTTGTGGGA